ATAGTGTTTACTGATTTTTTGGCTGAAGGGAAAAAGAGCTAACTATTGATTATTGTATTTGTGTACTTTTGTGTATGTATAATCTATTTATAAAAGAACTTTCAATATTCATCATGTTCAGAAGAGTAACTTTATCAAATACTAACGGCAATTATTTTTGCACTCCACTGTATATACGTGATCCGTCTTGAAGAGAATGTATTTAGCCGTTCTTCTTTTTTTATGGAATTCACATATACTATCGAAGAAAATAATAGTGGTTGGAAGTTTCAATCGAGGTTTTTGCGGCTCCTTCCCCTTATTTTCGAACTTCAGCAAACAGAGACTAGAAGAGCTAAACAACATTAATAGTCAGACTTAGATAGTTCTAAAATATTCCAGAACCTTTCTTAGTATTCAGATGAGTACAGTACAGTTTTTCAATATTCTAAATAACGCACTTTCTGACTTTTGGGCAGATAAACGATTAAGAATGATGTTTTGATTTTCCACAACTGTCATATGATTATGATAAAAGTATGAACTGATTAAATTTTTAGTTTTCGGGAATAATCAATATCAGTCTTTCAAAGTTGATCGAAATTTGTATTAGTATAATAAAACTAAATAACATATATAAGATCTACATTTCAGTTCTTTTAATTAAAGTATATAATTGATATTTGGTATTGTTGGTTCATTTTGCAAAGAATATCATTATTATATTATGCAAAAAAAATCATAAATAGTTTCTCTTTAACTATTTTGAAAGCAGCTTACAGAAAATTTTGCTTATCTTTATTTCGAATAAATATTCAATTTAATTCATATGAAAAATCAATGTTAATGTATTTTTTGATACTATGTCTGAGTATATTTTTAATTGAATACAATATTAATATTAGACTAGACAAAGAATGATTTATGTGAAATTTATGAAACATTAATGATACATAGTAAGTTGAATAAAAATGATCGTAACAGCAAAATTCATTTCGACCTTCTATTGGTCGATATATATAACCATCGATATTCATGTCGCTATTTTATTTTCATTAAAATTTACGCTCATTTCTGTCTCTTCTTCTATATCTTTTTAAAAATATTCAAAGAAATTTATTGGATAATTCGATGACCTAAATTATATGTTGAATATTTTAGATTGTTTTATTATTGATCGATTTATTTAACATCAGAATGGTAACTATTCTTGAATTTTGTTTTTCCAAAAAAATTATTAAAAATTTTTTTCTTTTTTTTGTGTAGCGAAAAGATAATATAAAAACTGCTAGATCAGGTCATGAACAAACAACAAAAAAAGCTCCTACGAAAACAAAAGGACGTTCATTTTGTTGTTCAATGTTTATTTATACATTTGTCTTTGTTTCTGGTGTTGTTGTCGGTATGTTAAATTAAATAGAAAATTGACTTTCTCATTGTATTATATATTTTGGTTATTTAGCAACAATATTACCTGATTTAGCTGGTCATCATTTTAAACAACCTTATGGCAAAGAATATGGTTAGATTTAATATTGAGATTTAAAAGAAAAAAAAGAAATGAATGAAGAATATTCTTTATTTTTAGGCGCTATGGCTGAACAAATATTTAAAGATTTACCTAAATATTTGAAAAATTTACGTGAAACAGCTATGGTACTTGGTAATAATTTAGTCGATCGTGTATGGGATCTTAAAGCTGAACTTCAACGACGAGTTGAAAATATGAATAATAAAAAAGAAGATACAATAAAAAGTAAAGAAATTGTTTAATACAAAAAAAAAATAAAAAGCTTTTTTTTTCCTTTTTTATCAGCAAAAACAGTTACTCAACGTCCAACAACTCGAAGTAAATTTTTTTTTAATTTTCTAAAATAAAATGAAATTTTACCGTTTTTGTCTATTCAGCAACAACACGAGCTAATACTAGTAAGTTTTGATTTATATAATTAATTTTTAAAAATTTGTTTTTTAATAGAAAAAGATCAAGCACACGACACAAAACAAACAACGTCTACAGCAAGTAAATAAACTAGCCCTTTGTCAAGTTAGAAGGCTATTCTCATTGTAAGGTCAATCATAAGAAAAATTTCACAAGGCATAATAGAAAACGATGAGTTTTACAAACGCTTTTTCTAGAAATCCAACGAATTTTAGAACCTAAAGATCTAATTTTTGAGTAAAACTTCTATTTTATTAAAGACTTTCAAAAGCTGTTGGTTTCCTAGGTAAACATTAGAGAAAAACAAGCTCAGAATAGAAGGCAATGTTCTTTTAGTCTGAGAAACAGCGATCACTATTATTAGAATTCTCAATTGTTTTCGAGCGTTGCAAGTTTAAAACCATCCTGATTCAAAAAATTTAGACATAAGATTTTCTATAATGAGCTATGAATGTTGTGAAACGAGTTCGAAGTAATAGTTTATTACTGTCAAGATACAGTATTTTTTAGCAGCATACCGTAGTTCCCTCAGGAAAACTGGGTTTCAAATTTTGCAGAGATACGGCTTAACAACAATAGTTCACTGTAAAAGTTTTAGAACTTTTGATTGCTTCTATTCTAAAATACAGCTATGGTAAAAGCATGTTATTAACGGTATTCATAGTTCATTAGAGCCTATATAATGAATACAATCCTGATTTCACAGAGATTTTTTACTTAAAAAGATTCCTTCATTAGCGTAAGATTGTCGTCTGGTTGTTTGACTACGGTTTGGGAGAACGTCTAAACATTATTGTAATAAGTCTTTGTATTCCACTTTCTAGCGTAGACACATAATAAGGGATCACAAAACTATCGATCTTTTTTTTTTTTGACAGAAAATCAAGACAGTTGTAAAAAGATCTTATGGAAAGTGTGAAATTTTCTCGACAAGAAAAACCTTCATCATCTCTCTTCTAATCGATAGACTTGATTTATACTAGTAGAATTCAATGCATTAATGAAACATATTTTATTCTAGACGATCGATCATCACAAACCAACGAATTTTAAAAAAGAAGATTTAATGATGAAACAATTGATTTTATCATTGTAGCAAACGCTATTAATATTAAACATTCTTTCATATTTGTCATATTTCTTGTCTTTCATTCCATTTTATTCATTAAAAAAATAAAGCAAGAGTAAATCAGTCAAATTTTTGAATTATTTCTGCAATTATCCTTTATGAGCAAATCTATTGTTAACATTTTAGTTTCTCTAAATTTTTATTGAATAATTATTATGAATAAGCTATTCAGATACAATTAACTGTACAATGTAACAATCAAGTAAATGTTAGTCATGATGACATTAGGATAGATGATTTCATAAATTGATATTAAATATCAAAATGATTGTCTGAAGACTTTCCTCAAAAAAAAAAAAAATGGTTCGTCTCTTTCAGATAAATCAACATTTAGACAAATGCATAGATGGGTAGTTTTGAGAATGATTATCTCACAAAAAAGATGTGATTTATTTGGCGCATTGTTTTTACAAAAAGTTTTCATAACATCTGTTAGAAAAATAGACTTTTCTGTTTGCATATTCCAGAATTCTTCAAGAAGCGTCATTGTAACCAATTCTTTTTATATGAAAGAGCATGTGAAGCTGCCGTGCCTGACAGAGTCTGTTGCTTTTTATTGTATAAAAAAGCATTTCTATAAATAGATGACTATTTTTGAGAGTTTTTCGACATATTAAGCTTGTCATTATTTTTCTACACATAAGAAGTAAGAATTTTAAAAAAGAACACTGTAGTCTGACATACTCTTTCACATAGAAATACATTAGATCTATAGAATGAGGATCTATAGAAAATTTCTATGACTATACGTGACCAAATATCGACTTTTGAGGAGAGAAAGACCTTTACTATCGTTCTGTCTCGGAAATATTAGACTGACAAAATTGTGAAAATCAAAAACAATGATAAAAAATTGCAAGTTTTCAAACAAAATATTTTTTACCTTCAGGCAGTAGAGATATTGATAGTTCAGCGAATTACAGACAATAAGATGAAAACTGAACCATGTTGACATTATTTAGCAGACAAAGGTCGATTAAGTATAAAGTTAATGTATATATTGTAAACTTTATCACGTGAGATATTCATATAAAATTTAATATCGATGAAATGTCTTGAATGGTTTTACAATACGTCAACGAAAAATAAGTAATTAGTTTATAAAATGAATAAAAAAATACAGATATTGTTTTAAAATTAGATCTTATGTATTCACTTATTTCTTTTTCTATGGATTCAGTGTTATCGTATTTAAGTTGCTGATGTCCACGGAATACTGTCATGAAAGAGAAACAAATCAAAGCTTCATACGTCGTTCGATTATCTTTTTCTACCACATCTTCCTTGAAGTAACCAAAAATATCCTACACAAAGAACAAGCATTCTGACGAACCTGACCATAAATTTGGAGTGACAAGACAAATACGTTCTTTACAGTATGAGCCTTTCGTCGGTTAATATTGATGATTTGCTAATATTTATCTTTATAGCGAAGAGAATTATCTTTACAGAGACGAACAAGTGTTCAACTTAATTATATTTTATTTATTCAGCTAGTCTTCCTTACTGTTTGGGATGTGGATAAACAAAAGACAGATACCGAGACTGAGGCCACATCCACTCTCTAAATATGAACTTCTTGATGAAAAATGATAACAATAAATTTCAATTTTTCATTTGATAAGAAGAGATTTATACTTTAAACGAGCAAGTGCTCTATTCGATTTTGGATGTGAATATAGATTTATTCGAATAAAGTTAAGATGTTCGTTATGTCAGCCCCTACTATTAGGAGATTCATCTATCGGTGTATCATACTTTTGGCATTTATTAGAGAGGCTAATCACCAATTTAAAAGATTCCTTTATCAGTAGCTATTCTGGAACTGCTATGGGGAGTAAATGATTAAACAAAAACCAACTATTAACATGCATACTGATATTAGACTAATTCAATATAATAAATGAGAAAATTTTAACAATATTTTTGTTGCTCTGTCAATCCCCACGTCTCACGGTACAAACAAAAAACTCTATTGAAACACATTTTGATATCGAAAATGAGGAAAAAAAACTAAAAATTTTTCATTATGAGTGTTACTCTTTATTTACAAAACTTGTTTCAGAAGTAAAATCTTAAATGATATCAGACGTTCAGTATTGAATTGTTCCATTAACATATTATGAAACTATTAACAATTAAATACTTTCACTAATAGACATTACGAAAACTTCGTTCTTCATTCAGGATCAACCATTAAGGGTGTTCAGGTAAAAGTCACATTTTTTGACCCGTCCTGTCCAGTTGCATCGATCCGCTCTCCCCTTCAGGACACCTAGTCGAGCCCATTGAGTTCGAAATTTTTGCACCTGAACTGTAGCTTGATAATTCCCATGAAATTTTCGAATCAGAATTGGATAGTTGCCTCGAAGGTACCAAATACTTTTTGTATTCGATGAATAGTGCATCCTACAAATTTCCCACAGTCCGTGTCTTCTCATTTGCGAGCATAAAATCGAAATTCAAAACCTATTAAGTTCACTTTCAATTTCTTTTATAAAAATTATTCCAATAGGCAACAATCTTAAATTTCAAAATTTCGTTGTCTAAGTTCTTTGAAGCCTACTTATATCAATTTTCATAAAATTTGTTCCTTCACTTTTACTTTTAACAAAATGCAACTTATAGAGATTGCTAAACATAATTATTACTATGAATGTCATGTGCATCTTTTGAACTTGAACACACCATCTAATTGCCATTATAATATGGAATCAAACATCGAATGGACACAGACTAGCTGGAGTGAAAGGGCATTTATATACAAATATAAAAATTCAGAAAACGCTGTTCCAAAAATAATGACTGCTTTGAAATATTGGTATTGATTCTCGTCGAAACCTCGCTTTAACTTTGATTAAAGTTCTTCTTCGCTAAGTTCAGACAGTTGATTATTGCTTGTGTATTATTAATATTACTTTAACAATAACGAAAAAAAAAAACCAATCCACTAGTGAATATCTATCCAAAATATTTAGTTCTCTTTTACCAAACTAATCTAACATCCAACTCATAATAATAATTTATTTTAATACTTAGAATAGCTCGAAGACCAATTATTATGAGCATTATCAACTTTAGATTAATTGAAAATTTAAAACAATTTTATTTTACTCTAAGTCAATTTTCTTCATGTTCACAAATGAGAATTAATCGGAGAAAATTCTCACCCATACCTTATGTTTGTCAATAGGCTTTCACACTTCATGAAATGCCTGATTCGTTCTTGCCCCAATGCTTTCAAGTCGAGTATTTCAAGACAAATTATTTTATTAGAAAATATTGAAAGAGAATTGAATTTCTGAATTATTATACAGTCACACTGTTAAAGAATCGAATATATCTATTTTAGTTTAACATTGAAAATCTTGAGCAGAAATAGTGCCCGATGAAAATGCCTTGGTAAGAAAGTCTTGTATAGCCCATTCCATGGCTCCATTTCGACTCAGCTTTGTATCACGTCCTTCGATACCTGGTGCTCTACCATCGCATCGAAACTTGGCATCCCATTTCCATTTCAGCTTCGAAATACGTCCTTTAAGATTGCCAACACACTGCATACCACAAAGTGTGATCGGTGAGTCTTCGCTCCAACTATGTAAAGTCCAAATTTTATGAGCTAATTGACCGACACACGCCATGTAGTTACCAGTAGAGGCAGCACTGGCACAAGATGCTATGGCAAATCTTCCTTGAGCACCATTGCCATTGCCTGATGCTTGCATTCCATGTTGTTGAAGAAAAGATTGTGCAATTTGGTTCATGTTACCAAAGTTCCAAGCATGACTGGAGTTCATAGCAACAAGAATAATCATGGAAGACACTAAGAATATTGTTATTTGTGACATTGTTATTTGACTTTATTGATATATTGAGAAAGAACACACTTTATCATACTGATCTCTTTGTGTATTTATATACGAAACGTTTAAAAAGTCACAAGAACATCTTTATTGTGTT